ATCAACATGGGCCTGATCCAATTACCTACCCTTGAGTCGTACTGGAGCTCTTCCTGGACAGGAAACATCCCATTTTTTAGCAAGGCGTTTACCAGAAATAGATTCGAGCAGATTTTCTGGATGCTCCATGTGAGTCGAGACGATCCGCAAAACCCTGGAAAGAAGATAAACAAGGTCAAAGACGTTCTCGATATGCTCATTTACAATTTTCAAAAGGCGTATTCTCCTAGTCGGAACCTTTCAGCTGATGAGACTATGGTGGGCTTTCGTGGGCGGTTTGCAGCTAAACAGTATATGCCAGCAAAGCCCAACAAATACGGTATAAAAAGCGTTCACGCTTGCAGATAGCACCAACGGGTATGTCCTAAACACCCTCATCTACACTGGGAGAGACACACTTGATACAGCCGATGTTGCTTATTGTCTTCTCCCCCAGCCAGCGCGCATAGTGCTCCACCTTTTAGAGCCATATCTAGACAAAGGGCACACGGTCATAACCGATAGATATTACACCAGCTTGCCACTGGCTATGACACTAGAGCAACATGACACTGGTTTCATTGGGACAGCCATGAAGAACCGGATTGATTTGCCTGATACGATAAGATCACCATCTTTTCGCTTGGCTAATGACGAGATTATGGCATTTCGTAGCAATCGGCTTTTAGCACTTGGATGGAGAGCAGCTAAAAAAAAGAAGCCAGTTATTATGGTTAGCACAGAGAGCTGTGCTAAGCCTACTACAGTTACATCTGTAGCAACGAGACGTGCTAGCGTGAAGCCAAAAGTAGTGGATGACTATAATCGTTCGATGAATGGGGTAGATAAAGCCGACCAGTACACAGTGTACTATTCCTTCATCAGAAAAAGTGTGAAATGGTGGAGAAAGCTGTTCTTTTGGCTATTCGAAGTCACTATAGTCAATAGCTACTTCCTATACTGCGCACACACAGCAACCCCATGCACTCATCTTCAATTCCGGCAGAGTCTGGTAGAAGCCCTTGTGTCATCCCATCTCGCTGCAGCTCCTCCTCGTCCTCGTCTCGGCCGACGAAGAAAGCGTACTCAGTCATCGTCTGAGAGATTCAACCTAGAGCTAGGCCACTTTCCTAAACGGGGGAAAATGAAAGAGTGCGAGTATTGTAGTGACGCTACCCATGGTGCTCGAAAACGAACATCTCTCTACTGCAAAGCTTGCCCAGGCAAACCTAGCCTCTGTGCTGAAAGTTGCTTTGAACTCTATCATACCCCTTGAACATCATACATGTATGTACTAACTCACTAACTTCTACTACTCATGTATAGTCTTACACAGAGACAAAGAGACACAGTATTCCCTACCTAACTACTGCAGCGCGTGCAACAGCGTTCAACTAAACATATGCGTAAATATACTCACAAAAGTTCGATGGAATGACTACAGCAGACACTCAGGGACTTGTTTCTACTTCACTGGTCAGCCAGAAGAGCTGCCTCTCCTTTCTTCTCCGCGGTTTTCAGGGCTTACGGCCGCTCACACGTGTGAAACGCACGAAGGAATTAAGGCGCATGCGCGCGTGAAAAATTCCGCGTACGCGCATAAATCTCCGTATTTCTCCGCGGCGTGCAAAGTGTTAACACTTTGACTATTGATGGAGGCTGGAATAGCGATACTATCTCACTGTACCTAAACACTTATTTTTCTCGCCTATTCCTTCATTACCACCCCTTCCGACAAGGGTTTGAATGGATTTGCATTTGTTGTATGCACATGAGTAAACGAAACGACAAACCAACAATGCCTAACACTTTGACTATAATTGGAGGGTGGAATAGCAAAACTATCTAGCTGTACCTAAACGCTTATTTTTGTTAATTTCCTTCTTTACCACCCTTTACAACAAGGGTTTGAACAGTTTTGCATTTGTTGTACGCACATGAGTAAACGAAATGACAAACCAACAATGCCTAACAGTTTGACTATAGTTGGAGGTTGGAATAGCAAAACTATCTAGCTGTACCTAAGCACTTATTTTCCTTGCAATTTCCTTCTTTACCACCCCTTTGGACAAGGGTTTGAATGGATTTGCATTTGTTGTATGGATGTGAGTAAATGAAAATTAATGACAAACCAACCATGCCTAATATGTGGAATATAGTTGCTGCTGCTAACAACCCCAACACAGTACTCCACATACATAGATAACAGAGCAAACCAGAAGAGTTGTAATGCACTGCATGATAGACACAATGGCATGGAAGGTATACAAACACAATTGTGTAGTCAGAACTATAGGACAAAGAAGAGAATGTGCTGTATACCTGCAAAACAAGAAAAAGCCAGAAACAATCTCCAGGGGTTATCCCACAGAGATGGTTTTCATCCCTTATGTTTATAGTGGGAGGACTCATCAGCTGGCCCTACTCTATTATTACTAGACACACAAACGGTAGGTATGTGCCTGGCTCTTCCTATTACCATTTTGTGTGTGTTAAACAGAATCCAGTAACTCATCACTTAAATTATTTATGCTCTGTTCTGGTTAGGAGAGAAAGAGTGTAATGATAAAGTTAGAAACATTGTGCTATTTCTAGTTGTTTCCTGGGTAAACACATGGTAGTAGGGGTAAGGGGATAAAAGAACAGCAAGAGACATGACATAACATACATTACACCTCTCTTATACAGCACACACTCACAACAGAGTGTGGAGTGCAAAGGGTGGCCTAAACTTTCGTACTTTTAGCAAACAAGTGGGGGGAAGGACAGTCCAACCAACCATCCTGAATACCTTGAAAATAGCTGGAGAGTGCATTGCTAAGGACTGACAGTGTAGGTGGCCTAAACCTTTAGCAAGACACATTTATTTACAAGTCTCAAGGTGTAAATGCGTCGGAAAAATAAATATACCTCATGTTGTCATGTTTGCTGAAGATTGCGCAATACTCGACGGCCCTCTGTTGCAACTCCATGTCCATGTTGTTGCCATAGCTACTCACCATTGCCTTTATCCGAGGGAGACTCGTTGAAAACCTGAAACAGAAGAAGACAATGTACAAAGTTTTAAATACACCCAAACTCCAATGAACAAACGGATATGGAGCATGGTGTGAAAGTAAAAAAAATTTGCAGCTTGGGTGACAATTGTGAAAGGTTTTCTCTACAAATTGTGTGGGCAAAGTGGGCGAGGGGACAAGCAATTTGTAACAGCTTTCTCGTAGGAATGTCTGTTGGTTACTGAATTGTGAAAGTTGTATTCCCCAAACTTGTCCTGGTTCACCTGCTGCTTAGTTTCATGACGGAGTTGAGTGTATACTGCCGAGTGGCTGGACTGGACTGCGGGCTCTGGAGAACTCGCTCCAAGACGTCCAGAACTTCGTCCTCAGTCACCTGAACAACCTCCCTCCTCCCCTCTTCCTCCTCCTCCTCCTCTTCCCCTCCCCCTATCTCGTTCTCCACCTGTCCCGTCACTAGGAGATCTCCATATTCACCCACCGCCCAAATGGCCACTTGCACCAGAGGTTGCTACGCAAGGCAAGAGAGAAATGAACTAAAACTGGGACAACTGCAACGTATTAATGGCAGAACAAAGAAGGACCGATATACCTGACTAATATCATTGGTGAGAGCAACATATAATCGCTGGGTGTGGTAGCCATGGAGTTGATCGGTCTGCGACAGCATGGCTATGATGGTGAACACCAGTTCCTCCTGCATGTAGGACCCGGCCTGAAGGGGAGAGAGATGGAGAGAGAGAGAGAGACAAGTTGCGAACACAGGTCACAAGATATGTTCCAGACCTTGATGAGCACGGTAAGAACAGTGTCAATGTGCCAGCGTTTGTTGGGACTGTGTTTCTCAGCAGCCACGAGGGAATTGGTGGCAATGAATGACTTGAACTCCGGCTCGGCCACGTCGAGAAAGGCCAACACCTCCTTCATGATGGTCCGGATGTTGTTCTTGTTGACGAGAGCAAAGGAGAGCTCGAGTGCCCGGCGACGGATTGAAACATCGCTCTCCTTCAGGCAGTCCAGAATGGTGCTCCGGTGTCGCTGGACTGCATTGTAGTCCACACTCACCGTCCGAAGTAGTGTGTTCAGAGCTACATATCTGAGAGAGAGAGAGAGAGAGGGAGAGAGAGAGGGAGATGTGGGGAAAATACTAGAATTATACTTTGGGCAAGCAAACGTCAGAGTGAAATTTCAAATTTCAGCAGTTTCACACGTTATGGTAACAAATGTCAAATATGGCAATATTCAGATGACTATAGGTGGGCTCGCTTTGCTTGCAAATAAAGTGGGGAGAAAAATTATTCTACGGTCAGTGCTTGGAAGAAGGTTGGGAGAGGAAGGAGAGTTTAGTATGTTGTTTGCTTGTGATGACTGACCGAACGTTTCTGTCGGAGTTGGAGAGGAAGCGACCGAGGATGTTGACAGCGAGAACGCGCAGTCCGCTCTCCGACTGGATGTCCATTATCGTGAGGACCGTCTCGTAGAGAATGGAGTGACCCACGTTCTTACTGGAGTCCGTGTTTGTCGCCACCTGGTGAGGAGGACCAGTGCGGAAAGGGTTAAATAGAGGTTGTGGGTGAGGACGTACTTGTGCGAGAATGTCGTTCATCATTTCACTGGTATCCTCGTCTCCTTTGCCCAGCATCCTCATGAGACGCAGAACTCGAACCTAGACACACACACACACACAGAGCTAAGACTTAGAGGCTGACATACATGCAGTGGAACTTAGTTTCAAGATTCATGCAATTTGTGTGGATATGATGGGTACACGCATCATGTTTCAGATAGTAAGAAAAAATAAAGTGCGCTCTATTCAATTATGCAACACCATGTAAGTTGGCTTTAGTGAGGGAGAGAGATGCCATGTTTTGCTGACCTGGAGAAACGGATCGCTGATCCCATGGACATCATGTTCAGGGGAATACCCTGCCATTATCAGGTTCTTCAGCATCCGCACCAAATTTGGTAAAAACTGAACAAACAGTCAGATGTGCATAGTCAATGTATGATTGGTCTTAACGAGTAGGGGCTTACTCGTCTGAAGTGCTGAAGTGAGTCTGGGTTGACGGTGCACATCTCCGTGACGAGGCAGATGCCAGTCAGGAGGACTGCGTGATTCTTCTCGCTCAGCAGCTGCCTTGTGGTGGGCACAAACACCTCCATCAGGTCCGGAACCTTCCGCACAATCCTTGCTGCACACAGCGCCGCCTGACACACCGAGGGAGAGAGAGAGAGAGCAGACCAGATAGAGAGGTTACTTTACCCCTCAATCATACATAGGTCCCCTAGTTTTGTAAAGTAAGTAAGCCTAGGCCTTTGATTACACTGCAACTGAAGTGGGCATTTCATTGTGCCTCAAGTCCTTTTGAGGTAAGTTAGTCTAATGTCAATAGGTAACAAGTTAGCATAATGTAAGAGCTAGTACATCATATGTAGCTACACTGCAATCAGTGTTTTTCACACACACACACACACACACACACACGAGGAAGATATCAGAGTTTGGAGTGATAATACACAGAGACACTGACCTTTCTGACAATGTAGGGATTAGAAGACTTGAGTAGTTTCTCCACCTCTCCAGACAGGTCACGGCTCATCTCCTCCGAGCAAATACTGCCCAGGGCGCAGAGTGCTAGTCCCACCACATACTGGACCTGGTGGTGCATGTCGCTGGGTTGAATAGAGGGAGAGGGAGGAGAAGAGAGGGAGAAAGGAGGGAGAGAGAGATAGGAATAGAGGGTTGATTGCTTGAAACTAGCCAAAAAGACCAGCTACATACAGCTGCCCCAACCCAGTGAGGGTATAACAGGAAGTGGGCAGCGACTCACTTCTTCATGCAGTTGGTGATGAGGATGTGGATGTCCTGTCTCTCGTCCAACAGCATCATGGCTCCAAGGTAGCCCAGCCGCTTGTCCGAGAACCTCGGCGACGCTATCAGCTTCAGTGTCTCCATCTGCCATCACCAAAACAAAACAAGGAAGATTCATTACAGATATTACTAGTGTGTGGGGGGTTGCTGACCTGTCCAAAGTGAGCTGGGTAGCCCAGCATGTGGATGTAGAGCAGCTTGGCCATGTTGCGAGCCCGGGCATCGTTATCGTCTCCCTTGAAGGCCGTACGGATGTAGGCGCACTCTTTCGGATATGACGTTTCTTTCGGCCTGGGCTGTCTTGCAGGACCGCACCACGCGGATCAGGTCCCGTACACGCACCGTCCCCGGCATCTAGGAACCTGGGGACGACGCCAAACGTCTTTACTTGCCTCCTAGTCCACTAGCTAGACTTAGGAAAGTGTGCAGGACGCTGAAGATCTTGTACAAGAATCCCTACAAATCTGATGGTCCTCCGGCTGACGAGAAGGAACCCTTACCCACTAGCGATCCACTCACCTCTATATGCAGCACCGGAAGAGTCTCTGTAAGTGATTCTTAGCTGCTGCAGAGCCCAAAACCAAAACTGCTAGCAAGACGCCATTTTTAGCGAAGTAAACATCACGTGATACACAAGAGCACGCAAAATTTTACGCATGCGCATGCGCTAATAGCATGCAAGCAAGCAAACTGATGTGGTAAAATTGTGTGAAGAATGTGATTTTTAGAGTCCAACTCCAGCGACTTTTGTTACATACACAACCTCATCTGTCATTCCTGCAAAAATCGGAGAACATAAAAAATATATATATATATTTCTGCGAACAGTTGCCGACCTACCGCACATGTTCTGACCAAACTTTAGTCGGAGGTATCCGCCTTCACCCCAGTCACTTCCCCATGTGTTTCTCACTATCCAGTAGGGAACTGGACCTACCATAGAGATAGAGAGAGGGTGGAAGAGAGATATATTAACTCACACAAATGATGAACCTAGCAAGAAAGAGCAAAGGACGGAGAAAGAGAGAAAGTCACTCTTGCGTTGCTAGGTGGCTCACCATTCATATCATATCCAATCACCTGAACAGCATGATCCACCTCACTTGGATCACCATCACAGTGGTGCTGAATAATACCCCCTGCAGAAATCAGAAACGGCAAACTGCAGAAATCAAGCAAACTCAGGTTTTTCAGAAAAGCATTACTTTGCTAGGCTTGGCTTACCATCATAATCCTGCCAGGCTCGAGCATTCACTGAAACAGTGAGTGGAGAGTATGTGCACAGATAATACTGCATTTCAGTCTCGTTCCTCAGGTTTCTGTGCAGTTCATGAACAGAGAATGTGTCATCAATTCATCCACCACTTAGCATTTCTTACTCTCTGTAGGTGAAATCCAATAGCTGCACACCAACTTTAGGTCTGGAGGGGGAAAAAACCCTTCATGTTTGCAATTGGCATTATATAAGAAAGAGGCTCACAGATTTCCTTTGCAATTATGTGACTTTCCATCTCCACTCTCGAAAGGGTAGGTCGAAGCATTCACGATCGTTATACTTTCCTGCAAAAACACACGCACGCACGCACACATAGAAAGACAAACAGCCCAGATGAAAAACAGTGTATATCTATAATAGCCATGTATGTATAATTATATCTCACAGATTCCACGGAGCCAAAGGCATATTCCAGAGCTCCACCCTTGCAGCCATCCAGTTCAACTCCGGTGTCACACGAGATGAGTTGCTGTGCACTCAGCTCCAGCAGGTGGCCAGTCTGTATGGCGTACCTGCTGCCTATGGTCTCCACTGTGGCAAATGCCCTGTGCAGAGTGCAGCACAGCAGCTCTACAATGACCGGGGAGATACCTGTGAAGACTTACCAACAACTTCCACACTGAAATATAAAAGGTAAGATAATGTGAGTGAAGTGATAATATAGCGTGGAACCTCTGAATAAGGGAGACCCAAAGTGTACTTTATTCAGAAGTGTCCCTTTTAAGAAAATTAGGGGATCTTTTTCAGAGGTTTTTGCTGTAATAGAGGCCCACTAGTTCTATGAACGAACAGTTCAGCTCACCTGTTTCTGGTTCCAAACTTTACCAATCACCCCATGGTCTCTCCTGTGAAATACTCGCACCATTAGCTGTGTACAATGCCAACAGAGACATCAATATATACCAGTCAAATGTTTGAGGCAGTGGTGATGAAGAATAGGGTGGTTTAGAGGGATAACCTTTTCGGTTATTACTTCGTTTCAACCCACTCAGGTACCTCTCTGCATACCAACAAATTAGAAACTTGGAAGAATGCTGTAACTGCAATACCCTTGAATTCTTGTGGTGTAAGATCCGAAAATGTGTTCACCCCGTAGACTGCGGAGCCACTATTCTCCGTCTCGTAGCTGTTCAACCACTTATGTCTCCGGAGACTCTCCTATATACCGAAGAAAGTATCCTATCAAGTTCGTCACTAGCTAGCTACGTATATAGTTACACAAACCTTGAAGACCAGGAAGCGGGTCTGGAAGGTGTCCGTGTCGTTGATGTAAGGCTTGTTGTATCGCTGTACGTAGTCTTGGAATAGGTTCAATTCAGGGGACGTCTGAGCGTGTAGACATAGAGTCCACAACGAGAAGAAGAACACAAGAACCGAACACTGCATCTCTGGCCAAGCAATCATGTGAGCACACGCCCATTTATACTATACGCATGCGCAACGTAGACGCGGGCAGTTTGTTGTTTCACATCCACAGATACCTAAGCCATTCAGTTCCTTTCAGTTCACTTTCGTCCAGATTTCGTTTCAGGAACCACATTCCGGCCGCCTTCGCAATCTTCTTTTTCCCTGCCTGTCCCCTGGCACTTGTCTGATGCCAAACATAGAACGACCCACCAGTTATCTTTTTGCATTTTCGACAGACGACACTCCTAGGCAGCAGAGAAACCTTGAAGTCCATGTCTCGACAGACACCGAGCATCCCTGAATCCTTCCCAGTGGAGCTCCAAACTATTCCACAGTTTTTAAGTGCATTGTTTATGACAACTTGATCGTCAATCCTTCTCATAGACTGCTGCACCACAGAAAAATGATCCCAGAACCTCTCTGCAAAACAGAAATACAACTAGAAATCTTACACATTGCAAATCTAACTGCTGTGACTATAGAATACATATCTATATCAATGCAGCTCCAGAACTAGTACCTGTAAAATGTGTCTTACCCATTTTTTCTGAAGCTCTGAAAAGCACCATTCCCATGCACAGGGTTGAAGAGTTCCACGCTCTGTGGAGATCGAAGGGGTAGGTACCTGGAGACGCCACAATGTCGCTGTCTCTCCTTTCATCAAACAGAGACTGCGGGTTCCTTGACAGCAGAGCATCACTGTCAAACGTTGTTACAGAGAAACCCCAGTGGTTGATGAGACGAAAGAGAACAAATCTGGTCGCCCATACGTGGGAATAGTTGGTCGGTAGATGTATGTTTCTCCTCAAAATTGAGTGTGGATCAACGAAAACAGAATTTAGTTCACGTCCTTGCAAAAAGTTGGTCAGTTCTTCGTCCAGAGAAATGACCAGGACATTGTCCAGTGGTGGTTGTACTATGACCAGCGCCGATACCAGCCAGTTCACCACGCTCTCCTTGTATCTGGAGTCTGCCACGCACAGAGTGACGTGTCGCCTACTAGTCTTCAGGTTTGCCAGGTACCTCCACAATTGAGGGACCCATTCGGCATCGAGTATCTCTTCCAGCGGCCTCGCTACATCCCTGTACGGCAGTCTCATGGAAGGACTCGTACTGAATCTAGCGCCGGAGGAGATTCGGTCGGAGAAAGAGTCTTTGAACAAGACTCTGAAAACGGTCATGAGGAGGAAAACTGATGCTGCAAGGACGACCAGCTTGAGGAAGACCTGCGGGCGAGGATACGAAGCCATAGTCAGGAGCAGGAAGGGGCGTATCTGGTTTATCTCAGCTAACGTACGCCGGCGTGCACTAATTGGAAGCGCGCCGTCCGCAGTTTTCCGCGGTGATCATGGGTTTCTCGGGCGTTCTACAGGAGGTTCGGAAGCGGTGGTTCATTCTTGGAGTCGTGGTGGTCATCTTACTCGCCAAACTCTTCCCTCTACTAGGCGCCAAAGGAGGTAAGACCTTACGCCGATATGGTGGGCACTAAATAGGAAAGGTTCGTCCACCAGGTCCGCTGAAGCCGGAGATCACGGTTAGGATTATTGCAGTCTCCGCCATTTTCTTCAACAGTGGTCTCTCCCTCAAGACAGACGTTGGTTCACTCCACTAGCCAGTGGTTGGTGTGATTATCTTGGCTAATTACAGGAGCTCTGGCGTGCTCTGGGGCAAGTGAAGCTCCATGTCTTTATCCAGACGTACACCCTAGTCCTCATCCCTGTCGTTATGTCTCTGATTGTCAAGGCTCTCAGAGTGGCCCACATTTTGGACCCCGAGTTCCTCAATGGGTAATGATGCTAACGACAGGATTTGTTATTGTAATGATGTAATGATTACCTCACTCACACAGTCTGCTGGTAGTGGGTTGTATGCCGCCTCCTGTATCTTCAGCTGTCATCCTGACAAAAGCAGTGGAAGGAAACGAAGTATGACAAAATTTTTTGCATCATGTGGTCCTCAAACAATCACTTTGATCAAGCGTTAATATATTTGTTTTTTCGCACAGGCTGCAGCAATCTTCAATTCGGCATTTGGAAGTTTCCTGGTACCAGCTATAAAGCTAGACCCTCTTGGTGTATGTACAGCCATTGTTTCCCCTGGTTTATATATACAGGGAATAGCAGTGACTCCAATCCTGCTGCTGGTGATGGTCGGAGCACGCACAACTGTCCCTTTTGCTTCGATCTTCATGCAACTGTCAATGACTGTTCTTGTCCCTTTAATCATTGGACAGGTATGTATAGTGCATTGCATCATTGCCAAGCAAACACGAGTGCAAAAATTTAGCCATATTTAGTCATAATACTGAAAATTGCTCAATTTAGTCACTAAAGATGGGGGGCTTGCTTCACTCACCAATGAGCTCTAATGTAAAAAGATAGCTTGACGTATGTTTAAAAGTGGATTATTCCACATAAGGTTGTGCGAAGGTTCACAAAGGAGTGGCTGGAGAGGAACACCCCGCCATTTGGAGCAATCAGCAGTGGAATCCTTCTGACCATCATCTACACCACGTTCTGTGACACGTTCTCCAAGGCTGATGGCCAGTTCTCTGGCTCTGCTGTCCTCACAGTCGCTATAATTGGTACATATTGTGTATACAAGTATATATATCGTGTGCTAGGAGTATGTTTCTTTGGAGCAAAGAAACTACTCCATTTTTTAATGCAGTGTGTCTCGATGCATGCGCACACAAGGATTGCAATAATATTTACAAACCCACATCAATAGTAGTACATGTATTTGGTTTGTTTTTCCTTGCAGTTGTGCTGTGTCAGTGTTCATTCATTTTCATTGCCTACCTCTTAGCCACTGCGTAAGTCCATGTCCGAGTTGTCCTTTGTACTGTTATGTATCTTCTACTACTGCAGCATTGGGTCCTATACAAGACACGACATTATCGCCATCATATTTTGCTCCACGCACAAATCTCTAACACTGGGTCAGAAATAAATACTGCAGGGCATTGAAAAAGTAAAAAATCGCTCAGTCGTGTAGAGCCTGTCTAAAAATATTTGTAGTGTAACATACATATTGGCTAGAAAATTTGCGAACTTTTGGAGTTTTGTGCCTGACAGCATGAGCTCTATATACAAGGATTAATCCAGGAATCTTGACTCTCACTATTTCTGCAGGTATCCCTATTCTCAAGATTGTGTTTGGAAGCTCAGACCACCTGAGCTCCATGACGCTGCCTCTCCTCGTCTACCATCCCACACAGATCCTGCTCGGCAGTGCCCTTGTTCCGTTCCTCCATTCGTGGGTCAGCCAGCTCCCCTCTCCTCCTGGACTGCCTCTGGTCACTTCTCGAACCAGCACCCCAGATAAAGAAAACATATCTCCTCCATCCATACTCTCTCCCTCTCCATAAGGTTACATGGTGCTTCATTCGCAATGCACACATTCACTAGTTTCTCATAATATTTGTAATTCCTGCATCATTTTTACTGATGCCAAAAAATTGATTTTGTTTTAGTGTTAGCAACCCTTCTTTCTGTCTCTCTGGTTCTCAAAATATATTTATTCATCCACACATCATTTTTACCGTTACAATGCCATAAAATTGATTTGGTGTAGTTTCTATTTGGTTCTATATAGTGCTAGCAGCCCTTCTTTCCGTCCCTGATGTAGGTGCCCACCTCATAGGGGAAGGTGACCACCTTCAGTAGGAAGTCAGTTAGTGGTTTAATGGCAGGGATGCAAGCTGCAAAGGGGACTAGTAGTATGTAGAACCCTGCAGCCAGTCCAGCTATCCACCTGTACAATAATATACAGCATCTGATGTGACCTATGTTAATATCATCAACAGAGTAATATCAAATAAACATCACTTCAGCTCAAAAAAATAATTATACATCGCAGCGTCCATAACATGTATATATTGTGTGAAGGACTATAAGAGACACTGCTATGAATGGACTATGGAATCTCAGCCACTAGTCCCGTCTCTGATATAGACTCCTACTTGAGTGGGAACTGAATGAGTGAGCAAGAGTTCATTCACTGCTGCAAGTGGAGGCAGCGCAGGCATGTGAAGAGAGAGAGAAGGTGATATCCATATGCTACTGTGCTCCTGATAGCAACCTCTAGTGAGTGAATGGCTGCGTAGTAGTGTCTGCAAACGTAAATCGTATGGATAGATGACTGTCTTGCCGACCAGTCAGTCTCGCAACGGTGGTGTCTAGAAGATTGAACAAGAAGAATGACACTGATGAGAGTGAGTGACTACAAGCAATGCTTAATATGACGGTGGCATGTGATGGCAGCTACGGATGCCATTGCAGCAGTCTACCTAAGACCAAACGATTCGTGGAACACATCTGTAGAGAACCTCTATCGGTGCGCGACCACTAACATTACATCCTTACACCACGCGGACAGAGAACCATGTAAGCTTTAGCAGGTGTTTGTATAGCTATTTCAACCTCACCAATAAAGAATAGGCAAGTAGAAGTAATCCACAGATGCTCCCCAAAAGTCATTCTCTCCACTCCAACCACTACCAACGAACGAGACCAGACACGAGCGCGTTCACGGCCGTATGCCTCCTAATTTATCGCTTGCCGGCCTGCGCAAATGCATCAACGTTGGTCCTAACAAAACACACCAAGACTGCTAGAGACTATCTGCATTTCCCATGCACCTCGCCATTCCTTCAACTGGCTCACGCAAGATTCGTATGTGAACAAACTCATCTAAACAATCATTATACAGCATGCACACATAGAACAGACCCGTACTATCGCGCCCCAGGCATCTGCAGATTCTTTTTCTTAGGGCACCACTGGGTCGGCAGGTTGAACTGGAGGTGAGGTAAGGAGAGTGAGGGACGACAGGCTGCATGAGCGTTCATGGCCATGCCCAGCTGCCGTCTTGACAGATACCTGTAAACAGAAACAGTGCTTGTGTAATCCAACGGACATCTTCTATTTGACTCTCCTCACCAGACATCATTGTAGTTGTTGTCAACACTTAACCATAGCTCATATCCGCCATTGCATGTACTGAAAAAACATAGTTTGGTGGTAAGAAATCTGTCACCCCCGTTGCAGACTGCCCATCCAGCACAGTCTCCTTGGGTTGGCCACACAGGGCAAGGCCCCCTCCTCCATTCCAGATGTGTCGTGATCACAGCCACAGCAACGTCAGACCACTCACTTGAGTACGTTTAGCTCACGATACCAGACTCTCCACACTGGCTCCACTCATCTCGCTGCAGACTCTGCAGGGTTAAATTTCTTTCTGGCTCTCTAGCTTTCGATCATTTCTCATGCATGCTCGACCTCGTAGCTTAATTCGCTGACTTATATATCAGTAAAGGTTAGTGTTTCATCATACTCATATGATTCTCTGCCGCTTCACTCCACATTATGACTCTATTTCCCTTACTTGAAGAGAAACGTGAGAGCATGAGCAGTTCCCAGCATCCGTTTAGGGCTACTGTCAATTCCGACAGAGCCTGATAGGTAATAATATAATTACAGCTGACTTGGGAGAAGGATTTGAACTGTGCTAGCGACCATTTGGTGATGCTCCGAGGTAGATAGGCCACAGTCTGACTGGGACGGAAATCCATGGCTTCTTGGCAACACTACAAAACACGGAGAGTTAAAGACATCCTCAGCCGTTAGCATCGTGATCATGGGTACTCACCATTTCGGCTAAGACATGCCGCGTGGTAGGGAGTTGAGGGTAAGATCACGCGGCGCTAACTGCTGTCTATACTCTTGAAGCCAAGCTTGCCAGTGTTAGAACTCCGTTTTCTTTCTCCTAAAACAACAGGCAACGTTGTTAGTACATTGCGCATAGCAGCGTATTCTTAGCTTTTTCGATCTCGCGGTTGGAGACGTCGCGTGTGTTAGGGAAGGAGAAAATCCATGCGAAGCTCAGCCTTGTAGAAGGGAAAAGACAAGTCAACATGGTCATATTGACTCCCCCCGCCGCACGATTTATTGCTCTCGTTTTCTCCATCGATCTCTCTAGTCTGCCAGGCCGCGGTGCACGGTGTACCACGACGACGGGAGGAAAGCTCGGAGCGTCGTGAGTCCCCCGGCCGTGTTCAAGTCCTCCACTCCGCTCCGCATTGGTCTCAGTTCGGGCACACCAACATTAGAGAAGAACCGCCGCCAGCCTTCGCGCGTGTCTCCCCACCGCCGGCAACATACCAGCGCCGAGTCGCTTGGGGGTCGGCCGACGCCGTTGCCCGTATTCCCGCGTGCGCGGCGAGGCACTCACCGCTCTGGCAAGGCTGGCCTTTGGAAATGTATCCGTTCAACATAATTGGCACCTCATTGCTCTGCGATTCAGTTTTTGCCAATTCCTTTACATGGTTGTATATTATATGTGTGCTGTGTTGACCGTTATGTTGCTCCCACTAAGACCTTGTGGCGTCGCTGGCAACCGAATGCTCCCCATACCACGTCGCTAGGACGCCATGTGCTCTGCACGGTCACTCCACTCGGCTACCAGCCGTGTCATGGGCTCTAGGTCACCCGCAGAGCGACCAAATTGCCGAGTCCCTCTTGTTAAGTATCGGACTCTGTCCAGGATTTCTCCAAGACGAGGACCGGTTCGGATCATGAAGGCTCTTGTCGCGCAACTTTTTCTACGGCTGACGTGGAAAAGTGAGCTCCAAGACAGTCGGACGATTCGTGCCGGAAGGCAAGATGCGAAACCGTCGCTACGTCCAGAAAAGGTCCCTCTGATCATCACAACGAGATCACGGGTTACCGCTTGCCTTCAGGAACCTGCCTGGTGGAGATGCTGC